ACTTTTTTTCCCCTACTGTGTTGCATAAAATATTAAACAAATTTTATGTCTTAAGATAATTCATATAAATTCAAGTCAAAGTCAATAAATTCAAGGCTCTTGACAAGACGAATAAAATAACATACAATTTTGTGCAGACTAGACTTTTATTTGTTAGCCTATCCCTTTCTTTCAGTAGCGGAAATTTAAATGTGAGATTCTGGAAACGAGATCTAAATTTAGCGGGAACGGTCGGGTCGGGAAGAAAATTATTCTAAGTGGACAGCGGGTGAATATATAGCGGGAGCGGGTGGGTGCGAATAGAACCTTGCAGGAGCGGGACTAAAAAAACAGTCCAGCGCAGACCTCTAGTGTGAAGTTATCTGGTTAATCACTGACTTACTAATCTACTGACTCATAAGCAGCCAACGATTTTGCAACAAAACCGTCTAACTATGCATGAGTCCTTGCATATCACACATTAAGGCCCAATCCCAATTCTACCCCTTAGCCCTTCCCCTTTTTCAATTCTCTTTTGGTTGGAGGGGTAGGGGAAGGGCCAGACATATATATATATATTATATATATACATACATACACACACAGTGGTGTGAAAAAGTGTCGGTATGATGTTCTTTTTCTGAAATGCAGTGTTACTTTTACGCCAGACGTAATGGGACACACACCTTCCAAAAGTTCAACTTTTGTCTCGTCAGTCCACAGAGTATTTATGTGTATTTTATATACACACACAAATATATATATATGTATATATTTACACAATGTATATTTATATGTGTGTGTGTCAGTAAGCATCGCATTAATATAGAACGGTAATTAAAGGCTCTAATGCACACCAGTATAGGTATGTGTGTATTGTAGGAGCTAGACGATGTATGATGACGTGTGACGGCATAGTAGTGGTGTCCCAATCCTTAGGGGAATATTTTCACCCCTACCCCTTGACACTCTGTTTCAAGGGACAAGGGGAAGGGGTATAAAATAAAATTGGAATTGGGCCTTACTCTTTTCCCGCCAGCGTTTTTGAAAAAGTTGCCAGCCAACACCAGCATTTTTGATGATTTTCACTTAAATTTTATGGCCCCCAGAATGTTTTGTTTTATGAATATCTGAACATGCAATACATCAAAATAAAGAACAGAGCCTCTACTTTTAAACTATTTTAAAATACTTTTATTCTAGCTTCAAGCATTCTTTTTTTTTTCATCAACACTTGAATGTAGGTAAGTTTTATTTCTATATAAAAAAAAGCTAAATTTGGAGCAAAAAGCAGAGAAAATCACTTTTTTGTTTTTGTTTCTTTTTTTATCAAATACTACATCTGGCTACATTTTCAGTAGGGAGGATCAAAGCAAAGATGTAGTAGATCGCTTCCATCAACAACCCCCAAAGCTTCACAGTCCTTTACCACTTCCTGGATCGACATTTCACTCAGTAGCATTAGGCTATTTTTATTTATATGCTGTTTATTTTTGATGATCGCATTGTTTTTCATATGCATACATACGAGATCACTTGTTTCTGCGTCGCTTTTGTTTTTGATATGCACATTCTAGACTCATTCAGGAGATGCGTAATAGCGCCCCTGAATGTATAACAGCGAGATCATGGAAACCCGGAAAATTCTGGGTTTGGCGGGGAAAGAGTTAAGCATTGGAATTAACATACTTACTTACAAGTTACTGCATTACTGTCGGATCCATATCTTTCCAAAAAGTCTGTTTGCTGAGCCTGTCAAATTGCAACTGGTTTACCTGGAGAAATCGCAGTGAAATTAACTGAACAAACAAATAATGCTAAAGCAATTGTTGAAGCTGTAGAACTGTTCTGAAGTGGCAAGCAATGAGTTCAGATCCATTTCCCATGGATAGTTAGAGAGATTCTTTAAAAAATCTTAGGGAATTAGAACAGTTTGCAAAGATAAAGTGGGCCAGTGTTCCTGTAGGTCATCTGCAATCATAAGAAATGAATACAGTATCAGGCTATTACTTTACACTACTTGAACTCCTGTCAATGCCCATTTCACAGTTGAAGGCATTTTCACAACCACAAAATGTTCTTGGGACAGTTATGCAACTTTGATTGTCTGGAATACAAGCAATACAAGCTACTTTACTTTGCGAAGTATACTTTATTTATTGAAGTATTAGGCCTATAGTTCAAGAGCACTTTTAAAGAACTGTTTAAAAACTGTAATTTTTCAATATGTTCAAACTGAATAACCAAGATGTTGTGTCTAGTTGAGTCATGGTACTGTTTTGACCCAAAGCAAACAATAACTTTTGCCAAACTGCATCAGTCAAGACTGGCTTGGATAATTTAGAGTGAGTAGTTTAAATCTAGGTCTGCATCTAGGAAGATATAATCATAACCAGGGCCGTCGCAAGTAGGGTGCGAGGCCCAGTGCGATGTTGACGTGCGAGGCCCTCTGCAATTTTGTGTGTGTGGGGGGGTGCTATAGTAACGAACACAACTTTAACACGCATCTGATCGATTGTGATGCGGTGCTCACTCACATGCTTGCGCACGAATCACGGTCATGCACAAGCTCATAAGAATTGTAAGATCTACTGCTTTATTATTATTATTATTATTATAAAGCAATTGAATAAGTAAATAAGAATGCTAAAATAAGTTCTAGGTTTGTAGTTATGAAGTAGTATTTTTTACACAATTTGAAAATATTTTTTTAAAATGTGCACATTCACTCATTCGTCTAACAGTCGAAAACGCAAATGTCTCTTGTCACGTTCATTTATGATTTACATGAATCATGATCGCATATTTTCAATTCAAAATTTCATAAGTTGAGTAGTTTGCTTCTCTAAATAGTCTATTACTGTCAGTCACTGAACATTTCTATCGTAAAACAGTTTTCTAATACAGTACTACTTATATCTTTCCACGAACTCTCGTTGCGTTGTGACCGTAAGACCCGCCTTTGATTTTGATTGGCCATCTCGATCATTTTGACATTGACAAGCGCTGTTGGACCACCGACCCAAGCCCGTCTTTTTCCCCCTTCTGCTAAAACAGCTTATATACTTTTTCAGCTACTAAAATAGTTCAGTTTTGTATGAAATGGCAAAGTGATTATTTCGTTTCGTTATTTTAAGTTAATTTAGAAAAACATTTGGAGCATTTTTTGATTGTTAATACATTTTTGTAAAGTATCGACCAAGCGGCCAGCGGCAGACAGCCGGGTTTCTATCCAAAGTTGCGAATTTAACTTGTGCGCAAAACTGGAATATCGCATAAAACAATTGCGAACAAGCATAGTTTCCATCCAACAAGTCAAAGAGAACAAAATCGTCACTTCCTGATAAACTGGCACTATAAATCACTAAGAAGCGTAGGAGAATATAATAATTTTCATATAGGCTATAATAAATTACTTGCGCCTCAGAGCGAGCAGATGAAACCCAATGAATGCGATCATTGCTTTCGGAGGTGGATGCTGCTGTTTGGGAACGCAGTCGTGTGAGACATTTCTAGGAGGCAATTATACAGAAATACTTTGGCAGACTTTGCTCGTGCATTTCTGAATGACCATAACAACATTTCAGTTGCTGTGAATGACATCGGTCCGCTGGTTAGTCAGGTTTTGCCGTCCCATAGCGCAAAGTCACATTACTTTTTTGATGTGCTTGGAGGAATTTATTCACAAAATGAATACCATCTTCCATTATTCGCATCAACCCTTTTTCGCACACGTCAAAAACCACCTCAAGCGAGCATAAAAACTTTTTTGCAAATTGATGGATTTTTATTTGAAATTTGGCGTTTCTATCACTCGTTTCTCACGCGATACTTCAAAATGCGCAATAAAACAGGGTGATGGAAACATTTGATCATAACCTATTTGATCAATTTAGCCTTCTTAAATCATCACGACTTGCCTAAAATAAAATCTATAGATATAAAACAGCTCAAGCATATCACAATTTTAGGCTCGTTTAAACACTTAACCTATAAATGTGCACTGTTAGCGGCATACCCAATAGTTTGTGCGGAGAGTGGAAGCTGAAGCACGCTTTACAGGACATGGAGGCGCCAGCGCGATCACTTGCATTGGAAACATTTTAAAATACGCAGTCATTTTTGCTCATAAAGGTAAGAGTAATACAGCATTCAGAACTGTAAAGGGTCTACTTTTATTTGTGTTCACTCACAATATCAACAAAACGTTGTGTTTTTATAAAATAAAGAAAAGAAAAACAGGATGCGTTCTGCAGTTTCGGTTTTGAGCAGGAGCGCTTCTGATAAACCAAAACTCAGCGAATACTTGCCTCACTGACTTGTTAAATATAGAAAGCTTTGAATTATTACTTTAAAACGAAATAATTCAAATCGAAAACAAAAACTCTTTCATTATAAAATCCCTAAAGATGCATTTCATTCACCGTTTCCAATTAGGCCTATACATTCTTCGTCTTATTATTATTAGGTTACTTTTATTATTAAATTACAATTAATGTACACCGCAATAATTTAAATTCGCCACTGCTTATTAGTTTAACTTTTTAAAACTTTGTCATCCTAACAACAAACAGCTTTACTCATTCTTATACACAAAGTCTTACACTATCTATCAGCTATGACTATTTTAGTCTTTCAAATGACAAAATGGTTGTAAAAACAGTAATAAAAATAGACATAAAATGCATGCCAGGAGCGAGGCGCGAGGCCCTGGGCGGTCGCACACTTGGCACAGCCCTTGTGACGGTACTGGTCATAACTGTCAACAGACATTTCAGACAAACAAGTAATGATTAATCCAGTTGGACTGCTAGCTCAACCAATGTTGTGTGCTTGGGATAGGACCACCGTTTTATTTGATCAAATGAAGTTGGGATGCCTGTTTGAAAAGTCATATTTGTTCTAATCCATTTGGAACTAGTGTTCCAGAGTTTACACTGCATTTTATAGTAAAAACTATCAACTGTAGTTCATGTGTCCATTTATAAGTCTTCAACCTAATATCCTTTTCGTATTCACAGACACCTGAAGTCCTTATGCATACCAGCTGTGAAGGTGCACCATGAATTGTGAAGAGCAGGGCATGGGGAGGGTAGTCCATTCCTGGGCCAGATTTGCCCCAGCTGGACAAACTGCCCTCGAAGAGGCCCTGAGGGTCTTTAACCCCATGTCCAAGGACCTGTCAGACACCGAGAGACAAATGGTGTCCTTTCTTCAAGAGCTGAGAAAGGAGGGAGCCAAGCCTGTGATTTTGAGGAGCAAAGATGTGTATGGATACACGTCTTGCACCACGGAGCCGATTACTTCCAGGATTGGCAGCAAGGTTCAGAGAGTGCCGAAACCTTCCAAGAAGCGAGGGCGGAAAGGTTTGAGCAAGACCAAGGATGTGAATTATGCGATGCTCAGTAGAGCAGCAAAGGATATTCTCCAAAACCAACCCAAGATCCTGCTTACCAATCTCTCAGTGAACAGTCTTAAGCAGAATGTTGCATCGGCAACGCTAAATAAACATTCTGTTCGAGCACAGCAGTGCCTCAAGCTAACAAACATAAAGGGGTTGACCGGAGGCCACACTGCGAGGTTGCAAATTCATTTTGGTGCGGATTCAAAAAGCGCCCCCAGTTTTGCTCTGGGACGGCCACCAGATCTCTCCGGAATTCCCCACTCTCCAACGGAAAATGGCAGTCAGAGATCGAACGTAGTTGCCTTGGACAACAAACATATTTTGTCGTGTCCGTTCAAAGTAGAAGATGCCCTGATTGGAGACTCTGCCCCAGTCGTCTGTCAGAATGGGTTCGGTCTTGAAGATGGTAGCATTTATAAAAAGATCGAAACTGTATCAGGTAAACCTGATGTGATGACCAGTGGTCTGGACAATGGTTCAGTGAGGAGACTCCATTTCCAAAGCTATAACTGGTCCCAGTCAACACTCACCAATGGCCAAGACGTTTCTAGATTGAATGGCAATGGTCTTGAATGGAAGGTTATAAAAGTAGATGATTCGGTCACGGATGAGGAGGTGAGGAGAAAGGCACAGAAAATCTTGCAAGTTAACTTGTCACCTGTGATACAGATCCATCCCCTTGTTGACTCTGTATAGATACTTGCTGCAGATTTTTTGTTTCCTTTCCTTTTTTTGTGTTTTCTTGTTTTGCAGAGTTGCGTTTTCTGGAAACAAACCCAAGGTTATCTCTGAATGGGAACATTGCGGTTACCTCCAAATTTTGCATTGTCGTCAAGTAGTTACTGACATCATAATCCAAAGATGGGATGCTTTTTTCTGCTCTCACAGTATTTTGTTTCCCCAACACATCCCAGCCTACCTTTATTTTGTGTATTTTTATCTAACTTCTGAAGGATTGGACTGATGAACAAAACCTTATTTATGACTATGCAGTTCCCAGAATGCTCCTTTTGTTGGAAAACTGGACATGGCTGTCTTAGTGGATCATGGGAACAGACTGAATTTGTAGAGTGATTTATTAGATGCTACTGCTTGAAAAGACAATGATAGCCTAACATAAGTTGGTCTTTATGGTTTTCTACATCCTTGGATCCTGCTGATGTCTGTCACCCAGGTTTTTTGACATCACCAGTTTTGTAATATGTTAGTCTGCTGGCATAGACTGCATACGATATTTTTGTTTAGACTCTTAACATGTTCAAATTGGGGGCACTTTTTACATATTAATTTAATTTCAGGGCAAAATAAATGGCCTTATTCTTTGAGAAGAGTAAAATTTAACTGAATCTTTGTACTCTTTCCTTCTCAATGTACTTGTTTCTTTCTGCACTCCACTTCTCATAAATTCCTTGAATGTTTCTTTTAATGTGCCAACCCTGGTTTTTCGTTTCTTTAGATTTGTTGGTACCATGACCACAAAGAATTGCAAAAAAATTGCTTCATTTTCCGAGTTCTCAGAATCCTGTCAAGCAGTGGACTTGCTTGTCCATTGATTGAACGTACCTCAAACACTTGAATAAGAAAATGTTGTCCTCCTTAATCCTGCAGTTAATTATGTATATTGTATATTGTTCATTCCATGCATCCATAAGTTGGTTAGTCCATGTTTATGTTTGATGATTTGTGGCCATCTTGATCGCCTTCTACACATTTAACCAAATTCTGAAAATTACAAACCGATCTTCAAAGGGATGGTTTTGATCCAGCACTAATTAAGGCGATTTCTGAAGGACGCAAATTGGAAAAGAAAAAAAATAATTCTCGTCTGTTAAATCTTCCCCAAGATGTTTTATTAAGGTCAATGTTCTGCCTCACCAGGTTTCATTTGTTGAGGGTGATTCATGTGCATTAGGGCACAACAGGATGAATACTTGCTTTTTGTGCACAAGAGGAAGAGATATGTGAGATTTAAGTTAGCGTTCAGCAAGCCCTAAGGCCTTTGGTTCATAAAGTTTAATTTTTTTCAAACTAAAGTAGATGATGGCAATGCAGCAGTTTATTTATCATTAATTTTTTTTTATATATATTTAAGTTTTCAGGTAACCAGTATATGGGTTCCATTAAAAAAATTAAAAAAAAAACTTTCATCCACACAAAATACAAGCAGAATTAGTTTTCCTGTTAATCAGTTTTTATTTTCATCCAGTTGAATCTGTGACACTCAAAAGCTGTAAATGTCAGTGTTGTATCTTTAGTTACTGTTATCAAGTTGTGGATTAAAATATGTTTGAGAAGTGTTTGGTGTGGATTACTGGAGTCTCAGAGTTTCCGTTTTTAAATGAACAGGCAAGATTATTGGTGCGCAAAATAATTATGGCTCAAAGACGTCTCCGTTAGCTGTTTTGTGAGGTGTGGACAGTTGCATATTGTTATGGCTAGTGATCTTGAGAGCCATTAAATTCCATTTCAGAAATGGGGATCCTACTCTAAAATCTGACTGGATAAGCCATGTTCAAAGCCGTTTTGAAATAGCTAACATACACACCAGCAAACTGCACTAATTCAAATTTATATTAATATGCCAAGTTGTTTGGTAACTGTAAATGCCTTACTGTTTGGCTAATAAACTTGCCAGATGTTATTTAGGAGACGAATTGCTTATTGTGATTATTACTATAAGTATATTTAATTTTTTATTGAACATTAGTGTGTTTGCCACGTTGATGTTGCTGCCACAGTTAAGAGGGGTTTTAGGGACTGTTTCATGTGCCGAACAGCATTTCTTAAGCGTTAAATCCTCTAACCCATGGTTTTCCTGCCGTATTGCTGTGTAAATTAGCATGGGATTGTTGTTTATTTTTACTGCTGTATCTTTGAGAATCTTAGTAGTATTTATAGTGTCTATAAATAATATTTTAATCAATTTTTGTTTGTTAATTCAACCATAATGTCGTATGTTTTGTCACTCAATGGCCAGAAAAAATGGAGGATACATTAAAGCTCAAAAACAATTCAATTTATTCAATCCTTTAGATTTTTTTGTAATCGCTCTTTTACAGTAATGTTCAAACTCCAAGTTGGATTTGAATTGTGTTAGATGAACAGTTGCTTCTTTTCTAGTGCTTTTATGCAAAGCAGCACCAGGATTTTTCTGTGCTTTGCCCCAACCATTTTCCAGTGTTCCATCCTTGCAAAAGAGAAGCATCCCTAAAACATAAGCTGCCACCACCATTCTTTTCACAAAACCAAACCAACCAATGTAGAGCTTACCATCAAGGCATTAACGTTTTAAAAATCTGGTCTCTTCGCACCGTTTCAACGTTTCAGTAACTCAAATCGTTTGGCTTGAATAAACTGTTGAAAATCTCTCATGCCATTGGGCAAATTCCAGCCAGGAAGTAGTATGTTTTAACAAAAGCTTTCTTCTATGTTAATGGAATGGGTGGGGCATTGTTGCGTTGTGCACCATTTCAACCATCTGTCATGGAGGACTGCCGTTTCTCTGACGTTGCCATAGGCCTCTTGTTGGCCTGTATTTCCCCTGCCTTTTCTAGTCTGGGCATATGAATTTGGAGAAATGCCAGTCTGGACAGATTAAAATAAAGCTGCAAGAATCAATAATTGAGGTTTACTGCAGGGCCTTATTTTTTACAGTAAGAATTTTTTTTTTTTAATGATATGAGGAACACTAATAGTTTTTGTTTGGCACGAGGTAGCCCAAGTAATAATGCTTTGTCTCAATATCAAACACTAGAATATATATCTACTTACAGACTGTGCATGTAACGCATAATAGAGCCTCTTTTTGCTAGAATTTTGTTTACATATTTTATCCAGCTCCCTGGAACAATAAGTCAAACAGGCCCACCAAATTTGTTCAACTATTGAAAATCAACTGAATTTGTTGATGGTGCGTAGATTTAATAAACAATGCTGCATACAAAATTTCAAACTGATTGGACAAACAGTCCCAGAGTTTTAGCACCATATTGGTGCCAACAAGTGGCTAAGCCCCACCAAATCTTTCAGGTATTCTCAAAGTGAACCCTTTCTTGGGTGTACCAAAGCTTATGAAAATAACTAATTCTGTTCAAGAGTTATAGCCATAAAAGTAGCCATACCTGATACGTATATGTAGTGTGATTCAAACTTCCTGCTCTGGTTTCATTACAATCTGGCTACCAGCCTTTAACAAATTGCATGATTTTTTCCCCCCAAACCGGTTAAGCACAAATCTTTTCTCTGCAATTAACTGGTCAACTCAATTACACAGTCACCCATCAAGAAGGACCTAAGAAAAATCATGGATGAATCTGAACAGTAATGCTGTACTAGGGTTAATATTAGGGTTAATAATCAGTGGTGTGATTGAGTTGACCAATTAAATCTTTAGAATTGTCTGTTGGGCGGGTTTGCATTGGTTTGGGGGAAAAAAAATTTAATTTTCAAAAGTAGTTTTTGCAACATCAAAAAAAGTGACCATTGAACCCTTACGGGAGTATTTCCATTATACCAAGTTTCCTGTCTCTATGGCTTATTGTCTGGGCTCAAAGATGTGTTTTTGGCTAGACAGATTTTTTTTACAAAATCCTGTGTTTTAGCACCTCATTCAAGCCCTAATAAAAACAGTTCAACACTGTGACAATAAATATGTAGGGATTGAACCAAATTCACCAAACCAACACAAGGCCTAACAGTTTTAAACTTCTGGTCTCATCACCACATTAATCCTTTGGCATTTGAGGAACTTTGGTTGGCATGATAAAACTTCAGATTGCTGAATTATTGAAAGGACAGCAACTTCTTTTTGGAGCAGATGTACGCCTCTCGGCGTTTCGAAGGCCTTTGGTATGTCTGTTCTGGGCATGTAGATTTGGTGGATGGCCAGTTCCTGCCACAATCATAGAAACTGATGGTGAATGTAATAACAGTTAGACACTATAACAACAAATGTTTAGCTATTTATCATGTAATTTGCATGATGTTTTTGAAACAATACTAGTGAAAGACATGTGCATTTTGATTTATCTCGCCCCAAAGTAAGCAAATTCTTCTTCAACACCTGACCCCCTCTCCACATTTACTTCAAAGTTTTTTATCGCTTAAAGAGAAGCACCACATGCCATCTTGACTACGTTGTAGTCTCCTCCTTTCATACATTTCAAAGCAAACACAATGAAAGGTGTGATGCGACACATTTGTGTGTGACCCAGAAGCCTCTCTGTCGAGTGGGGATGGGTGTCGTGCTTTGTTGCGAAGGAGCACGATGAAAATGGGGGATGGGAGATGAGTGGAACTGGAAAGATGGTGGAGGAAAGCCCAGCTGTGAATTCACTGTAGTCCTCATTAGCCCTGGGTCCTAAAGTCCCCAGGCTAATTCTCAAATCTCTAAAATTAACAGGAAATTTACCTAAAAAACAGTCTTACATCGCCGCAATCCATTTTAAGAACTCTATAAAGCTGTTCGGTCTTTTTTTGAATGCCAAAAAGCTTCCTGTATGAAGCCTAACACGCTCACCATCAATGATTGATGGACTATATTATTACTACAGTATTTGCAAGGCAGCAGTGCATTAATATTAATCAAACATAACATATCGCCACAATTAATCAAACTCATATCGCCACAATTAATCAAACTCTACATCTCTACGACTTTTATGGTGAATTCCGCTTGAGCTGCTTAACATACAGAACACATTTTTGTAAGTATTTCCATTGTAGTTTGTTTTAAAGTTTTAAAATCTTTGACTGAAATGTTTGGAATTCCAAATCAAACCAATGATTGTGATTGGTCTGCTTTCTTGAAATCATATTCATATTCGGTTGTGATTGGTCTTGTCTTTCTAGCGTCTGTCAAATTACGTAAATGTAATTTTAATTTACGCAGAACTAGAGCCCTAAATGAGTGCCTACCTTAGTTAAAACTTGAAAAAAAAAATCATTTGTGCAGAAAACAAATAATTTTTTCATAAAAAAAGACCTGAAATTCCACACTAAACTCTACTTGACTTATTTTTCTTATTTGACCAGCTTTACCTTTCCCAGTCCATAGCAAGCCAAAATCAACAATATTGTTTTCCTGCCAAGTAGTATGAACAGGTGGTCGTTTTCCTCAGGGGAATTTTCACGTGTCTCCCTCTTGCGTTACGCTTCAGTTGTCTTTAGTATGATCAAATAAGACAAAAATACCCTTCTATTATGTCGACGAGACCTTTGGGATTATGCATTGCAGTTGGAGACATTAATTAGACCCCAGGTTTTATTCCCTGGACAGCAGATTTCCTTTGTGATTGGCCAAGAAGAAAACCCTTTCGAAAACAACAGGTAAACTAACAAATGCACCCAATGTTTTTTAGCAAATGTTTTTATTGAACTGAAGGCACCATGGTAGGCTGATGTTGTCTAGGACATAATTAGGTCATTTAAGTCTTTTATTTTTAGGTTTAACCATATACAAAGGTGTTGAGGCCACCTCTTCCAGCTGATTGCAGGTAATGAAAGGGAGAGGAGATCGGCACTGCCGTCTGTGCTAGTCGATGAGGTTGGGTGTGTCTGTAGCAGCTGAATCCTGAAATAAAGAAATATCGATCAGTAACGATCAAAGAAATGCACGTAGTTAAAATTACAAACACATAGAAGGACGTTTTTACCTCAAATGGCTCTGCAAACGCCCTGTAGCCGCTGTATAAAGGGTTTGGGATAGATACTAAAGCAGGGTTTCCACCACCTTTTGTGGAAGCACCATCTTCATCATCATTCTGTTGAATGAAGCATAAGACATTACATTCATTTATCTTTGAATGTAGATTTGTATACATCACAAATGAATCTGCTGGCCTAAACACTATCAGAATCAATGACTTAGTTTTAATATATTTTTTCCTTGAATGTGTATTAAATTATACCCGATAGTCTATTCTCTACATTTCATAGCGTTTCTCTTGGTTGTGCTGCTTCCAGCAATGTATGTTTATGTTAGAGCTTTTATCCAATCATATTTGAGCAATCATGTGTTGCCAGGGTCAAAGAAATCTGCCTTGAGGCCTTCAGAATCAATATGGCAGGCGCCTGTAGCTTAAAATAAATGACAATGAAACCGTTGCTTTAACCAATCAGATTTCAAGTTGGCGACACCAGGGCCATCTAGCAGGAGTACAAGAAAACTTTGGCATTTTCACGTCCTTTGATTGGATGGTCAGAGAGTGTACTAGTAGTCAGAGCTAGCAAACAGCACATTGTAAATCATTTTTGTTGTTTTCACAGTATTATTACTGTATTCTCAGGTTTCTTACTGTATACACTGTGTACAGTATGTTATTGTAGATTGTCAATGCATTCTGGGAAAATATTAGCCTACTGGAAATCTAAATACAGTAGTACTCAGAATGACCGGGAAAAACAACCACACACCTCCTCGTCAACGGCTCTGTGACAGACTCATAGTGAAGATGAAAGCCCACTAGAGTACGGTAGGTTCATTTTTGACTTTTTTATCGCTTCATACGTTTTATTCTAATGTTATTTGCAAGATATAAAGCTATGTTTAAGTTTCCGTAAGAATATCTAAGGAGTGCTCAGTTTCCGAGTCAAGCTGTGCTAACTTTCTTCTTCCTCCCACAGCAGCGCTGGCAGACTTGCGATGAGACTCGTGAAGACGAAAAGCTGTACGAGTACGTTAAATTGTTAGGTCAACTATAAAACATATGTAATCACCTTATTTGTTTTATACTAATGTTATTTGCAAAGTATAGATACGTTTGGGTTAATAAATGTCTGCAAGAACATCGGGGTGGACTATATTTTTGTCATTTATTAAGGTTAATACTGATGCTTCAGCTAGAGATGATGTACGTGGTGCATCTGTGGCTGCAGTGAAAGGAAACTTGTTGAATTGTGTTAATTGGGTTTCTTGCTTTAGTAATAGCATTTATTCTCGCTACATGAGATACCTGTCTGTGATGCATCGCCCTGTTATACTGCATTTCTGTATAACACTGACGGTTTCTATAGCCGTGGCGTCATAATGATGGTATTAAGAGGTGGATTAATTCAGGTAGAACACCACTGAAGGCCTAGGTGTGAAATGCACAGCCAGCCACTGATTGATATATATATATGGCTTTGCTGGTTCCATGTAGAAGATTTACCATCCATGGAACCTTTCCATTTTGCAGCAATGCCATAGGAGAACCATTTTTGTTTCCTCAAAGAACCTTTCAGTGAACAGTTCTTGAATCATTTTTAATTTAGTGTGAAGAACATTTTAATAATCTAAAGAACATTTTGTGCAATGGAAAGGATAAAATATCCATGGATATTAAAAGTTATTCATGGAACCACCAATGCCAATAAAGAACCTTTATTATTAAAATGTTCTTCACACCAAGAAAAAAATTGTTCTTTTGAGAGCTCATTATTGAGTGGTTCTTTGGGGAAACAAAAATGGTACTATAGATAGATAGATAGATAGATCGTGTCTTTGTTTAGTCAACAAATATCTGAAGCTCTATTAAGGTGAACATACCTTAAAATACTGGAAACGAAAGGCGTCATTCTTGTGCTTGAGGACATAGTATGCAAGCCCCGCGACAAAGCCAACAATGGCAAAGATAATCAGCACAGTTGTGACTGCGACACCGCTGGACTGTGAGATTGGAGGAACTGCCGGCACCTAAAAATTAGACAACACCATTGATGACTTAAAAAAATTTACAGAATTGTAGGTCCAGATTTTGGCAAAGCTATGCGTGGCTGTCTACTACTACTGCTTTGAAAATACTGGATCGAACATCAATGTTACTCAAACAGGATGTTGACTTGCTTTATCGAGTCTGGTGAGTCATAGTTGTCGTCTTTGTCTAATGACGAGCAAAAATTCTTTTCAATAAAGTCACTGCTCAACAGAAGGCATGGGAGTGTGCTTTCTATCTGAAAACTGCTGCAATTTAATTCATTGGTGTTAATGCAATTACCCATGAAATTTTCTAATAAATTCTACCTGTACATCCATTGAGTGGTTCTCCAATACTCTTCATTGTACTACTACAAAAGCGGCCACTTACTGGAACAGGTGGAGCTCTGAAAGGCCCATCAATGACATGGATCAGACCATTGATTGCTGGAATGTTCCAGGCCAATATGACCTTCTTATTCACCAGTTTTTGGGGTTGAGGGTCCTGTGAAACCAATAAAATAGACAGTTTGCTTGACAATGTACAGTAAATGTGGCCTGAGCGGTGTGAAGCTGCTGAGGTTTGCTTACCTCAGCCTGACCGGTGGAATTGGACGGAATCGTTACAACTAGATCAGAGCCCAGACGGGACGGGATTACCATGTTGTGCTTCAAGTCTTCATAGTAGTGCAGACTATTGATGCTGGATATATGATACAGCAAATCCCTCCATGATAAGGTCTGAAAAAGGAAATAAACTGCAGACTCAAGGCCAGCAGAGAAAGAGCGTGTCCAACTTGTTCCTACTTTCTTTGTTAGTTTTCTTCCTCTGACTCAGCTACACTTCAAAAATGTTTATATGAGAATTCATTTTGGCTTGTATTGATAATCACCTTGTTTGCAGAGAAACCGTCATTATGAGGTACAAAAACTGTGATGTTTAAAGATTTGTCGGACAGGGACTTCAGCAGGTTCTTGCCCTCCTCGCCATCCTCTGCATACTTCAGTAAAGTCTGTGGGAGGAAACCAACAGGAAATGTGTGACTCCATTGTTATGAAATCACATGGATGTTCCTCTTTGAACATGACTTTTTGTGAAATTATGTGAAAACATCATTTTAAATTGACTTCACTTTAATTTGATTTTCATTGCTTTGTTTTTTCCCTTTCTTTAATTTGATTAAAACAAAACATGTTTTTGGGAATATGTTGTAATTGGTAATTTTAACTTTTCCCTGTGTCCTCTCTTTCCATCCGGTAGGTCTTTTGTCTTTAACTACAAATCCAGTTCCTTGATGTCATCATCCTGCAGGAAGTGGCATTATTTTTGGAAGGAAAACAACAGTACATGGCTACTTACTGTGTAAAACACAGAAAATTTGAAAGTAGTGGCAACAACTGAGGCCAGGTCTCCATTACAGAATTCCCCGCTTCCAATGTACCCAGGTTTACATTCACAAGACACCTCTGTGTAAGAGAAAAATGGCTATCATTTTTACATCAAGGCTGTTCAGGTACAGTAAAATTTCAAATTACATTTCAACTAAGAAGCATTTCCTGACAGTCATACCATTCATCTGGTAGCAGTACGCATCATACGGCCAACTGGCATTGACTGGCTCTTTGTACAGCACAATACCAACATGATTATCACCGCATTTAGCAGAAGGAAACCGGATCGGATAGCCAGCTTTCTTGCCGTCCATCCATCCTGCCACACATAGATGCATTCCCAACTAGAACAGTAAAAAAAGCTTTGTTTTATAATGTAAATTAACCAGCCATTAATCTTTGCTGCTCAAGAATCATTTCTTATTATCAATGTTGAAAACAATTGCACTGCTTATTTTTGTGGGAACTGTGATACATTTTTTTCAGGATTCTTTGATGAATAGATTTGGGGAAAAAAACTTCGTTTTATAATGTAATTTAATCAACTACCAGTTGAATTTATCAAACTTTCATGGGATTTATACTAGAAAAACTTACTAGTGGTGAAAAAAAATCTACTTATTGTAAAATTTAATATTTATTTAGTGAATTGATTCTGATTTAATAAACATTTAGATTTTTTACTGGAAAACAAATATACCAATAAAGAAATTGTTTGAAGAAAGTTGTGCTTGCATTTACCGTCACTCGTCAATATTTTGCCGGTAAAATCCAGTCAATCTTCAATAGGAATCAGTTGGGAGTTTTGCGTGAGGGCGAAAAAGTTCACCAGCAGATTTTGCTCATGTTCAAGTTGGTCATGCGAATTCACCATATTGACCGTATTGGTTTGAAACTGACTTCAGTGTGAGCTGTGCTTTATACATTGCTAAGCTATTGACAATAAACAATGGTTCTTTTGTCAGCAAAATTTAGCTAATGTTATGTAATGTTACTCGCCACAATGGTGTAAATGCAAGATGTGAACAGCTAAAGTTGGGCTCAAAAGTCACCTGTTGGGCGTCAGAGAGCTGTTTGAATGTAGCAAGAGTGGCTCCCTCGGCCTCGCAAGCTAACTGTGCTTGACTGAAGTTCAGTTTATACTTCCCCTCAGATGAGCGCAGATGGAAAACACCTGCCGTTTTCACTGAAACGTAAAAATAAAAACCTTTGTTTTTGAATACTCAAAGTATTATGACCCTGTCAATTAAATCATTGTGAAGTCGTACTGTGGAAATGAAGGTCTTTGCATGTAGCTTTGGGGTCGCAGCCGCCATTGTCCTCCAGGCAGCGGTCAACAGGGGGCACCACTTTCTCCAAACACTGGATTCCATTTCCCACGTACCCCTCGAGACATTCACAGCGCCTCTCACTCTGCCACAAGGTAAATGTAACACATTTTGTTTATCCAAAACTCTTGTCAGATTACAATAACAGAAAGCAGAAGTTTCACATACAGGTCCAGTGAAAATGCATTCTGCGAAATCGCTGCAGCCACCGTTCGCCTCCTCTACACATCGGTTGATGGGCGAGCAGACGTGTCCGTCTCCAGAGTATCCCATCCGACAGGAACAAGTAACGTTGATACCGGTCTGCAAACAGTCCGCTGCTTCATGGCAGCCTCCGTTATATTCACTGCAAAGATCCGGAGCTAGAAAAACAGACATTTCATAATCAAAATTGATTTTATCCATTTAAAGCATTCATAATAAGACTATTCTGAACTATTATGGATTTTCATACTTAGATGTTTGTAATAAAAACATGACAAAAATACAAAGAATTCTTAAAATCAAGATACATTTACCTGCGAAAGAAAATAGACTTCAATTTGGTAAATTTTTCTGAAAAAAAGACTTAATATCTTAAGTGAGTTTCTGGTGCTCTTCGGTCATTTTTTAAATGAACTGTGAATTGTTACCTTTTTTTTTTTTTTTTTTAAAGAATTTTTACTTCATCGAAATTGTACAAAACTTGGTAAAAAAAAATAATGGAAGTGATTTTTTAAAAAATTGAAAAGGTTCTGTAGATGGTCCTGAAAATGGTCTCATTGGAAATGAATGGAAGGGAATTTCATCTGGTGGAAACGTTTGGTACTGCGCCCAAACAAAATATTTCTGAAAGCTCTTTTTTTTTTTAGAGATTAACCTCAAATTTGGAACACAACTTGTTTAGATTTATGGGTTTGAGATTCTTGCAGTACTACAGTAAAACATTTTGGAAAATGTATTTTTTATCTAAAAATTTAAGATAGTATTTTTGGACATTTATTCATAACAATACACGTAAACGTCTATAACTGGTTTAAATTTCATTTTTTTTCACTGTAGCAATAATCTGCCGAGTGTCATATTTACAAGGAGACTAAACTTAACTCAACTGAAGCATTCAAGATTTATGACAGTTTAAGTTGGAAATTTTATTTTTAGATCCAGTACCATAACATCGCCCAAAAAATACAAAATATTAAATTAAAAACATCAAAGTAAAATATAGTACATTAATTTCATTGAATTTTTTTTTGACTGCCACACTAGGAACATCAGAGGGTTAAAATAAGAAAATTCATCTGTCAATCGGTTGAGAAAATTAAACTCAAAGGGAAAAACAAGAACAAAACAAGATTATTTTTCTAAGCCCACTGACATATGGATTTGTTTTAAGAATAAACTCACTTAATTGAAAATGAAAAACCAGACGAAAATACGATGAGTAAGAAAATCATTTTTTGCAGTGCATTATGTAAAACTGATTCAACAGCATGGATAACATGCCATTAGGTTACATAAGCTGTTAAATATATGTTGGAGCTGAGGCCACAAGTTTCAGATCTCAAGTAGTTTGCAAGCGAACCTGAGCTCTCTCTTCTGTTATATTAATAAAAGTGGCAATAGGCCATTTGAATCCAGGACAAGCATCTTACAATCAGTCAGTCTAATACAACAGATGTGATTCATAACCCACCTGTGCAGTTGATGCCATTTCCTCCATAGGGCGGCACACACTCGCACTGGTTTTCAGGGAGGCAAACTGCGTTGAGATCACATGCAGGAGAGCAGATCAGCTTGACTTCTGTCAAATAACAGGCAAAGGGAGTGTTTTCACCATTGAAAAAAGTCGAAAATATTTTCTATGGCTTTCTACAACACTACACATATCTTTGATAGATCCAGTACATTTGATAGAGTTTTCCATGTGAAGCTTGCTCTTACCAATTTTTGATTCGCAGTATTTACCCATCCACCCCTCTTGACAGAAACAGCTGCCATCACTGTCCCGGCTGTAGTCACACATGCCTTTGCTGGTGCAGTTACATGCTGTGAGAAAAGATGGATAAACTGTTCATTATAGTCGGCACAAAAGTTGAACAGAACTAATACAATAAAATTTCAACCAAAACATTTATACTGATCAGACAAGAAATGGAATGTAGACAAGTAATGTAATTTTAGTCTCATCTTCCAGTACCTGGTGACTGAGAAAATGTACTGCCCATACATATTTATATATATATAGTTTTCTTTATTATTTATTGATATTACTGACTTTAAAAAACTGAATTTTTCATTCTTTCATTTGTATGTTTTTTTGTTTACACTGCAAATATTTTTCTTATTTCATCTACGAGTATTTTGTCTACATCTAAACATCCTTAAAACAATATTAATTTACTTGAGAAGAAAAACTGCTTTCAGTGAATGTAAAGTTATTTTTCTTACCATTTTGGCTTTTTTCTTGTGTGGTGGTCAAAAATGATCTTTTTTTTCAATGAATTTTCCATCAAATGAATGTACTATATTTTAGTTTGATAATGTTTTTATTTTTAATATGTTGTATTTTTAGGGGACTTTATGGTAAAAAAAAAAATAAAAATTATGGAATAGTTATGATCCATTCATTATCAGTTAAAAATGAAAATTAGGCCATGAATTACTCACCCTCAAGGCATCCAAAGTGTATATGACTTTCTTCTTTCAGACGAATCCAGTCGGAGTTATATTAAAAACTGTCTTTGATCTTCCAAGCTGTGTAATGGCAGTCAGCGGGTGTTGCATTGCTTCAGTCCAAAAGAAGTGAAATAAAGCACATTCATCCATAATAAAAAGTGCCTCACACGGCTCCGGGGGCTGAAAAAAGTCCTCCTGTAGCGAATCGATGCATTTTTGTAAGAAAAATAACCATATTTAAAACGTAATCATCCATTTAATCTAGCTTGCGCTCACTGTTGTACACGGAAGCAGCTCCGGGAGGATGACGCAAGACGAATGCACAGCACATGGGGCGGTGATTAGTGACGAACGCGGAAGCGCAGGGGAGAGATCAAAACAAAACAATGGTCACGAATATGAAGTACAAAACGAGGTTTTGTAAAGAAGAATGTCGGAGGAATTCAAATTAAGCCAAGAGGAGACTGGTTTTCCTTTGCTAAAGTAAGGAAACTTTGCTTCCTTTGCTCCTGTAAACAAACGTTGGTTTTCACGAGACTCACCGGCACATGCACAACGCCGACATCTTACGTCATCCTCCCGGAGCTGCTTCCGTGTACAACAAGCTAGATTAAAGTGATTATTACGTTTTGAATGGATATTGATGGATATTTTTCTTACAAAAACACATCGATTCACTACAGAAGGCAAATTATGAATGGATGCGCTTTATTTCACTTCTTTTGGACTGATGCACTGCAACACCCGCTGAGTGCCATTAAACAGCTTGGAAGATCAAAGACAATTTTTAATATAAGTCTGATTGGATTCATTTGAAATAAGGAAGTCATTCATCTTACGTCATCCTCCCGGAGCTGCTTCCGTGTACAACAAGCTAGATTAAAGTGATTATTACGTTTTGAATGGATATTGATGGATATTTTTCTTACAAAAACACATCGATTCACTACAGAAGGCAAATTATGAATGGATGCGCTTTATTTCACTTCTTTTGGACTGATGCACTGCAACACCCGCTGAGTGCCATTAAACAGCTTGGAAGATCAAAGACAATTTTTTATATAAGTCTGATTGGATTCATTTGAAATAAGGAAGTCATTTATGCCTAGGATGGATTGAGGGTGAGTAAATAATGGGCTAATTTTAAATTTTTGGGTGAACTATCCCTTTAACCACTTTTTGAGCATAAACCTGAAAATGAAATTTCCAACTTAAACTTGTAAATCTTGAAGCACACCTAAGTTTGGTATCTTTTTAAAGAAGACACTTGGCAGATTATTGCCAGTTAAAAAGTGAAACTACAAAAAAAGTTATAGAAGCTTAAAGTTATTATTATGAAAAATGCACAAAATAATATTTTGAAATTTGATATGAAATATATATTTTCCAAAACATGTTTTACTCTAAAACTGTGTGAAAATCAAAGGCATAAATCTACTGTAAATGAGTAGGGTTCCAAATTTGAGGTTATCTACAAAAAAAAAAGAGCTTTCAGTAAGATTTTTGTTTGAGTGCAGTACCAAAAGTTTCCACAAGATAAAATTCACTTCCCATTTCAATGTGGTCATTTTTGACCGCTAAGAGTACAGGTGTGAGTATTTTTTTGGACGATTTAACCTTTTCTAATAATTTTCAATGTTTTTTTTTTTCCCTTGTGTTCATATAGCAAGTGCCTTTACCAAGTTTCATATCTATCCGATGAAGTAAAAAATTCTAAAAAAACAAAATGTAAAAATTTTCAGTTAAAAATGACCGAACAGCACCAGAGGATTAAAGCATAAACCTCAATACATTTTGTTAGATTAATGTAAAAACTTAACAAAAATGCCAACTATTCACAAATGGTCAAAATTGCCTAAATTTAAACCCTGTTTTATATCGCAGTCAAAATAGTACCAGCCAGTAGCTAAATTTTGCCTCCTTCCTAATGCTAATTTCTACTGGCAATTTTGTTAATTTTGAACCTGCTTCCTGCATTTGTGTAGTGCTCTATTTGGATAATTGTTCCTACAGTTGCGTTGACTCATTTGCCTGTTCACTTAGTCTTTACCAACACCCGTGGATAAGGAATTGGACTGTTTAGGAAAAATTCACGGTTTTAAAACTGTTTTGAACGGGTTACCTGTGCAGTTCGGCCCAAAGTGATTGCTTTCACACAGCTCACAGCCTGTGCCTCTAAAACTGTTGTGACATTTACACATCCCTGTGCCGGTGTGGCCGTCATCGCAGTCTCCATGCTCTCCACATGGCGCCTCGAGTCCGCCGGGACACACTAAACCACAAACCAACACAGAGTTTAATACCTATTGGCTGCATCGTTTCATGTAACATTCAAGCAACTTCTTGCTTTTTGTGTGTTAAATTCTCACCTTGACAGTCTCTTCCAAAGTGGTTTTTACAGCACTTAACAGACCAAGTCATTTTCGTGCAAATCCGATTACAGCCAAGCCCACCTCTGTATGAGTTGTATCCAAAATCATACGAGTACAACCCATGATAACTGGGCCGTCTGTACATGTAAGGTAAATATGGTCGTCTACAAATGCTAGTTCTGTTCTGTAAAGAAGAGATCAGTCTGGATCAAGGCATGTTATGTTTGTATAAGCATGTGACTGATTATCACAGAAAATACAATTTGACTTGGTAAAAAAAAAAAAAAAATTTGTTAATGCAACAAAATAAAACAAAAAAAGTCAATAAAGTGTTAACTGCTAATGTTTTTTAATGCTACAGATGCCAACCAACCAAACAAATAAATTAATAAATGAGAAACAGTGAATAAAGTGCTGGTTACTAAAGTTTTGTTTATGCAACAGAACCAAAAAAATAATCAAATGTAAATCAATAAAGTGCCGACTGTTAAAGTTTAGTTAACAAAACATAACCAAAAAATAACAAAAAGTTAGTCAATAAAGTGCTAGCTGCTAAAGTTTTGTTAATGAACAGAACCACAAATCAACAATTCGCAGATCCACTCACTGTGTCCTCTGATCCGAGGGGACAATGGGGCAGCAAACTGCAAGAGCCACAGTGTCCCTAATGACAAACAACAGTATAACAACATTAGGACAGCTCAATTGTTTTAATGTTAAAATCACTTTGAAACAAGTTTGTTGCACCAGTAGTGGAACTTAAAGGATTAGTTCACCCAAAAAAGAAAATTCTGTCATTAATTACTCTCCCTCATGTCGTTCTAAACCCATAAGACCTCCGTTCGTCTTCGGAACACAAATTAAGATATTTTTGTTGAATTCTGAGAGCTCTCTGACCCTCCCATAGACAGCAATGTAATTACCACGATCAAGGTCCAGAAACGTAGCAAGGAGATCAGTAAAATAATCCATGTGACATCAGGAGTTCAACCGTAATTTTACGAAGCTACGAGAATACTTTTTGTACGCAAAGAAAACAAAAATAACTACTTTATTCAACAATTCGTCACCCTGGTGCCACTTTGAAGAATATCCACTGAACGCAAACAGCGTGTGACGCAGCTTACACAGAATAGCATACGCGGTTTACGCTCAGTGAATATTCTCCAAAATGGCACCAGGATGTGTGAGGAGACAAATTGTTGAATAAAGTCGTTATTTGTTTTCTTTGCGTACAAAAAGTATTCTTGTAGCTTCGTAAAATTACGGTTGAACCCCTGATGTCACATGGATTATTTTACCGATGTCCTTGCTACGTTTCTGGACCTTGATCGTAGTTATTACATTGCTGTCTATGGGAGGGTCAGCGAGCTCTCAGAATTCATCAAGAATATCTTCATTTGTGTTCTGAAGATGAACGGAGGTCTTACGGGTTTAGAATGACATGAGGGTGAGTAATTATTGACAGAATTTTTCATTTTTGGGTGAACTAACCCTTTAACTGAACTGAAAAATAACCAGACAAATCTCTGCGTAATTGTGCTTTTTCATTTGTGCTTTACATTTTATTTTGTTATTTTATTTGATCTCTTAGAGCATTAACATTATCTTAGTCTCAAAGTTTTTTACCTTAATCTCTATGCTTGTGAAGTCGTCGCAGCGAGCGCCAATGCTCGGTGGCTCCAGAAGCTGATCAATCCCATGAGCGATTCCTGAATCAAACAACATGTTCCGCGCTGCGATTCTGGCATTGTTTCCATTGATTAAGATGTCGCCCTGAAAATCAGTCAATAAGATGTGAGCAAATTTACAATCAAATGTCTTAAATGTACATCACTAAAACACCAATGAATGAAACACGGCAAATTAATGAGTTCATTTCAGAAACTACATTTGAAAAAAAATGTATTCTTATTTTTAAATAAAAGATAAACCACTATAAAGACAAATATTTATTAATATGTATACATTTTCAAATATGATCAATATTGAGAAAAAATACATTGTTTAAATATAAAAGATAAATCACTTAAAAAAAACAAAGACAACATTTGAAAATATTTAAATATTATAATAAACATTTATTTCACACAAATATTCATTCAGGAGAATAAATGTTGACAAAAAGCACTTTACTGATAACACTTTACTTAAGGCCTTTATGTATAAAGCATTATAAAATTAGTTTTTTAATGTATTAATTATGCCTCGTAATGCACCTTATAATGCATTATATGGTCTCATTAATAATTGCAACCACAGTTATAATACATGATAAGACTTGTGTGTACATTGAACATAACTTTAGAAAGTATGATGCATTAAAACATATGACAAACAACCAATTTCAGATTCTGCAAATATTATAATGCATTTTAACTTTGGTTACAAGATGTAATGCATTATAACACACATTATGAATACCTTTATAATGCATTATACATAAAGGCTTTAAGTGTTAGTATTTTTTTTTCTTAAATAAAATATATCAATAAAATAATCAATATAAAAAACAATAAATAAATCATTAACATTTCACATGCAAGAAGTTCATAAGGAATTTTTGCTCATTATTCTTCATCAAAATACTTACAATTAAATCTTTGTTGCAACTGAAGGTGAGCTCTGATCCAAACAATGTTTCCATTTTTTTCTCAGCAGTAAGAGCAACAGCAACTACCTGGAAAATACATCCAAAACCGTTTTGTGACCCTTAAAAGAAAGCACTATGGTGGTACCATGGTACAGTGATGCTATCAGATGGTAACACCATGGTACTTTCATATATAACTTAATTGATTTCAGTTAATTGATTTTCATTGAATTCATTTAGGTTGGAGTCTCGTACCCTCTGGTCACGGACTATGTGAGCTTTGAGGTAGGCTTGTAGCTTATCACGATGGTCTTCGCTGTACAGCCATTTCTTTCTGTCCTCAGGGAGTTTGTTAAAAACGTCATCTGTTGGCCAGAACATGGTGAATGGATAAAAGGGTTGATGCTTCACCACATGCATCAATTCCGCATCCTGTTGAAGAAATCAGCGTTTTTGGAAGATGTTTGTAAGAAAAATGCATATGGTCCAAAAAAGCTGAACATACAACATAAACATTACCTGTAGGAGCTTGCTGAAGATTTTGAAGCCATATTGTTCAGCAGCTGCGGTAATGTTCAACTGCAACATAAATTGAGTTTTACTTTGTGGAATGACATTTTAATTACTTTTTTGTACTTGATGGCCATTGGTTGAGTTACATACACCGGTGTTGATATCTGCCTTGCCCGTTAGATCGTATGGAAAAAGGACCTTGTCTATGAAATGCATGACTCCATTGGAGCACTCAACATCACTGGTGATGATCTTTGTATTTCCGTTGATGTACACAACACCCTGAAAGACAAAACCAGACACTTCAGCTCAAGGTCACTGATCTGCAATTGATCTACAAGGGCAGTTTTTAGAAGTATCTACAGTATATAAATTATAAATGGATCTTTGTTGTCTTTTAAATGTCAAATTATTATATTTCTTCAATTAATTCAATTAATCAGTCAGAATACTATAGGCTATATATCGTAGGTTACCAATTCAGTTTATATCAACATCAACAAAATCCATCTTTACTTGCAAATGTGGCACAGAAGCTGCATCTGGCATTTTTCATATTTTTAATGATGTTTTATTCTTTTCTAAGATGGAATAATTGTGTTTTCACCCCAGTATCTTGAATTTGGGAGGCATTTTTGTTCATTTTGGTGGCATTTTCACCCTAAGCCATTGTTAAAGGGATAGTTCACCCAAAAATAAACATTTTGTCATCATTTACTCACCCTCCAGTTGTTCCAAAACCGTATGAGTTTATTTCTTCTGCTGAACACAAAAGAAGATATTCTGAAGAATGTTGGGAACTGAACAGTTGACAGTAGCCATTGAATTCCATAATAGTTTTTCCATAATGTGCAAGTAAATGGCTACCGTCAACTCTTTGATTAGATTACCAACATTCTTTCAGGCTCAATAAATGAAAGAAACTGAGGTTTGGAATAACTTGAGGTTGAGTAAATGATAACAGAATTTTCATTTTCAGGTGAACTATCCCTTTAATTTCGGACTTTGGTTCAGATAAATATACACTATTGAAAATATAAAATGAGTTTGAAACTTCAAGGACTCACATCTCTAACACTGAAGCGTAATTTATATCCGCTACTGGTGACCACTTCTTTAACAGATTTGAGCTGTTTGGTCCAGTTTTCATACAATAAGCATTTTTGTCACATCCTCCATTGTCCACTAAACAGGCATTCATTTCTGTAGTGAAAACACAATTACACAACTTTAACCCTCATCCGTCCCTCCTGAACCTATAACAAAAGTGTCCCTCGCGTGTCAAAATGACCCCAAGGCCAAAAATGACACTTTTTTTTTTTGGTCCAACAAATTTATATTATATCAAATTTATATATATTTTTTCCACATTTTTTTATGTCGGTTTTTTTATTTATTATTTTTTGGTGATTTTTATTTGATTCACATTAAATTCTGGATATTTTTATGAAAATTAGCATATTTTGTAAATTTTTTCACCAAAAAAAAAACAAACAAACAAAGACACAATTTCTGCATATTTATACTTTAAACATGATGATCCATCAGGACCTAGGTCACTGAGTATCTCTGATGCCATCTGGTGGGGAAAAATGACATAAAATTGCATTTTATGATTGCAGCCACTAGAGGGGCCTATAGAATCCAATGGAGATACTTAACTGAGCCAAACAAGTGAAATCTTTAAAACTACACCAACTTGAGGCTTCATTAAAGGGTTACTCCATCCCAAATATAAAAATGTTGTCATTAATCACTTACCCCATGTCGTTCCAAACCCGTAAAAGCCTTGTTCACCTTCGGAACACAATTGAAGAATTTTGGATGAAAACCGGTAGGCTTGTGACTGTCCCATTGACTGCCAAGTAAATTACACTGTCAAGGCCCAGGAAAGTATGAAAGACATTGTCAGAATAGTCCATTTGCCATCAGTGGTTCAATCTGAATTTTATGAAGCGACGAGAATACATTTTGTACGCAAAGAAAACAAAAATAATGACTTTATTCAACAATTTGTCTCCACCGTAGCGCCATTTTGGAGAATATTCACTGAACACAAACCGCGTGGTGCGGCTGACACATACAAGTAGAACAGCATACGCAGTTTCCGTTCAGTGGATACTCTCCAAAATGTTGCTACGGAGACGAATTGTTGAATAAATTCATTATTTTTGTTTTCTTTGCGTACAAAAAGTATTCTGGTCACTTCATAAAATTCAGATTGAACCACTGATGGCAGATGGACTATT